ACAGTGTCTAGTTCTAGTGGGTAGTCCTCATCTGCCTGGCTAGCTCAGTCGGTCGAGCATGATACACTTAATGTCAGGGTCGTGGGTTGGAGCCCCACGTTGGGCGTTTCTGTTACTTTTCTCTCTCTCTCTCAGCAAACTTACATTAGGGTTCATATAGCAGACCTTTTGAGACAAAGTTCCGCGTTTCTACCACTGTAGGTCACCTTTCACTAAGTCTCTGTGGCGCAATCGGTTAGCGCGTTCGGCTGTTAACTGAAAGGTTGGTGGTTGAAGCCCACCCAGAGACGAATTAGGCATTTTGCTGCCTTGCAACTGCTAAACCGTGCACTGGGCATATATCCTGGGCCACATTCTGTCCAGCGTTACAAGATGAAATCAGGATTTAGCAGAAGATTGTCACGGGTAGGGAAGGTATTACTGTAAACGGTTTCTGGTTCCTAAATGAGCTTCTCATCAGCCCGTCTAGCTCAGTCGGTAGAGCATGAGACTCTTAATCTCAGGGTCGTGGGTTCGAGCCCCACGTTGGGCGTTCCTGTACTTTTCTCTCTCTCTCCCAGCAAACTTACATAAGGGTTCATGTAGCAGACTTTGAGACAAAGTTCCGCGTTTCTACCACTGTAGGTCACCTTTCAATAAGTCTCTTTGGCGCAGTCGGTTAGCGCGTTTGGCTGTTGACTGAAAGGTTGGTGGTTGAAGCCCACCCAGGTACGAATTAGGCATTTTGCTGCCTTGCAACTGCTAACACGTGCACTGGACATAGATCCTGGGCCACATTCTGTCCAGCGTTACAAGATGAAATCAGGATTTAGCAGAATATTGTCATGGGTAGGGAAGGTATTACTTGTAACAGTGTCTAGTTCTAGTGGGGAGTCCTCATCTGCCTGGCTAGCTCAGTCGGTCGAGCATGATACACTTAATGTCAGGGTCGTGGGTTCGAGCCCCACGTTGGGCGTTTCTGTTACTTTTCTCTCTCTCTCTCAGCAAACTTACATTAGGGTTCATATAGCAGACCTTTTGAGACAAAGTTCCGCGTTTCTACCACTGTAGGTCACCTTTCACTAAGTCTCTGTGGCGCAATCGGTTAGCGCGTTCGGCTGTTAACTGAAAGCTTGGTGGTTGAAGCCCACCCAGGGACAAATTTGGCATTTTGCTGCCTTGCAACTGCTAAACCGTGCACTGGGCATATATCCTGGGCCACATTCTGTCCAGCGTTACAAGACGAAATCAGGATTTAGCAGAACATTGTCACGGGTAGGGAAGGTATTACTGTAAAGAGTGTTTAGCTCTTAAAAGTTCATCTCATCAGCCCGGCTAGCTCAGTCGGTAGAGCATGAGACTCTTAATGTCAGGGTCGTGGGTTCGAGCCCCACGTTGGGTCTTCCTGTTACTTTTCTCTCTCTCTCCCAGCAACCTTACATTAGCGTTCATGTAGCAGACTTTGAGACAAAGTTACGCGTTTCTACCACTGTAGGTGACCTTTCACTAAGTCTCTGTAGCGCAATTGGTTAGCGCGTTAGGCTGTTAACTGAAAGGTTGGTGGTTCAAGCCCACCCAGGGACGAATTAGGCATTTTGCTGCCTTGCAACTGCTAACACGTGCACTGGACATAGATCCTGGGCCACATTCTGTCCAGCGTTACAAGATGAAATTAGGATTTAGCAGAAGATTGTCACGGGTAGGGAAGGTATTACTGTTAACAGTGTCTAGTTCTAGTGGAGACTCTTCATCCGCCTGGCTAGCTCTGTCGGTAGAGCATGAGACTCTTAATGTCAGGGTTGTGGGTTCGAGCCCCACGTTGGGCATTTCTGTTACTTTTCTCTCTCTCTCTCAGCAAACTTACATTAGGTTTCATATAGCAGACCTTTTGAGACAAAGTTCCGCGTTTCCACCACTGTAGGTGACTTTTCACTAAGTCTCTGTGACACAATCGGTTAGCGCGTTCGGCTGTTAACTGAAAGGTTGGTGGTTCAAGCCCACCCAGGGACGGATCAATCATTTTGATGCCTTGCAACTGCTAACACATGCACTGGACAAAGATCCTGGGCCAAATTCTGTCCAGCGTTACAAGATGAAATCAGGATTTAGCAGAATATTGTCATGGGTAGGGAAGGTATTACTGTTAACAGTGTCTAGACAAAGTTCCGCGTTTCTACCACTGTAGGTGACCATTCCCTAAGTCTCTGGCAACATTATGAAGCTGCAGGCCCCGAGACCCAACCGCACGCTCAGACCTGCTCGCTCAGACCAGCACTTCCAGACCTATCATTTTCTCAGACAGTGCCACCTGCTGTTGGAAAAATTGCCTAACCTGAATTGATTGATTTATAAATTGTAAATTACACTATTTTTCTACTATAAAATATTGCACTATGATTGAATACATTATTATATAAAATATTAAACATACTAGATTATGATTTAATGCATTAAGTCTGTTGTATTTTAATTAACTGTATTTGTAAATAGATATTGTTCAGTTACTTAAATATTTTCAGTCATTTATTGTTTTTGTTTTTTGTTTTTAAATCATTAAGGATTTATCAAACTCTTTAGTATTGAGTTGAGGGAATGAACATTATCTTATTATTCACAGAATAAATGATAGTACTCTGAGTAATTTTCTCACACCAAACTATTTTTTTATAAATTTTCATGAGGTCCTACAAGTCATCGAGCTGTAAAAAATGCAGAGAAAAATTGTGAAAAACAATACTTGGATTAATAATGTATTTATTACATATAAAATAAAATAAAATGCTTTACATTCTTGTTGGGGAGATTTTTCATTTCTCGAGCAATTCTTCTGTTAAATTCCTCAACTTCACTAAAAAAAAAAAATAAATGCTGTTGTCAGAAATTGTGTTTAACATAAAAACTTAACAGCTTTTGTACAATAAAATGTAAACATACCTTGCGTGATAAATGGGGCCCTGGAGGAAGACATCTTCAGCCTCCTGCCAAGACAAGCCTTGTAACTCGGAAATGCCATGAGTTATGGCCTGTACAAACATACAGATAAACCAATTAATAAAATAAAACACACACTGCAGAACATAAGCATGCTCATGTACATACATGTTTTGTGATTACCTCTGGGAGGAGACATCCACAAATGAACTCCACCTCATCATTGAAGGTCAGCTGTGTTTTGGTTTTATTAAGAATTCCTCTGATGTAGTCATAAATGATTGACTGGGACTGCTCATTCTCAATGAAGACGGGCACTTGAGAACGGGGTTTAGTGGAAACCAATTTGACCTTTTCCCACTGAGTATATCCTTTGGGCCATAGAAGGAAATTATATTTCATATGTAAATGCACAAGTAATTAATTATATTTGGCAAATAATAGTCAAATTGTCACTTGACTATATTTAAGTCAACCATACTCAGAGTCTAGAGGAGTAATTTAAAGTGGAACCATCTATACCACCAAATGCTGCTCTGGTGATTTTGATGTGATAATCAAGTCCACTAATCTTTTGTCATTCCTTTCCCAATCTTGAACTGCTTGGACATGTGCCGGAAGATTGGATGTGGTTTTTCTTTTCACCCTAAAAAGGAGCAGAATTTTTCCATCCAAGACACTTCTTGCCTTCTCAGTCCAGAAAGCAAATCTGTGCCCATAGCTTTTAATAACAAGACAAGACAAAATCCATAATTACTGTGTAACGTGGAGACTGACACGGAGGGATCCATTATGCAATATTTATTAATCACAACTTCACTCAAACACACAATATGCACCGGAGTGCACACACACATCCACAGTAGTAGTATGGGTATCAAGACTGATGATGAACAGACACAGAGTGAGTTACCAGGCATGAGTGGAAGGGAGTGAGCGAGAACCAGGATCTGTTATGCAGGCTTGGGTCAAGGGCAGGCAGCAAGGATCAGAGTCCGTATAACAGGCGTGGTTCGTGGGCAGGCAGAGAGAGAGTCAGAGTCCGTATAACAAGCGTGGGTCGTGGGCAGGCAGAATGCGAAGCAAAGTAAGAGACAGGCTGGAGTCGTGCACAGGAGATCAGGCTGGAGATCATGCTCAGAAATGCTGGCCGGGGCTAAACAAGACTTCGCCCTGAACGAGTGTTTGAGTGCGGCTTATAAGAGGTACGTGGGTCATTAGCCAGATTCCAATCAGGTGTATGCGCAATCAGTGTAGATGGATGACGTAATGCTAAAAGTCCGGAGATGGTGGCCTCTGCTGGCCAGCGAGGGGAGTTACTGGGACCGAGTCGGTGACATACTGGTCACTGGTAAGAGAGATTTTAAGTATGTTTTGTTATTCATGTTACAAGTTGTTGTATTGACACAATATAAATTTTTAATTTTACAGATTTACAAGAAAAATAAATAAATACTGACATACCCATCAGTTTGAAATTGTTCCATGAGTAGAAGGCACCACCACTGACGGATGATAGGTATATCCATCTGAAAGAAAGACTGTTTAGTCTGACAGTTAACCAACATGTTTTTGTTAATACATGAAGTTGGGTGAGCTTGCAATAACCATGCCCCTTTTTTTAAAAGATATGTTGCTTAGAAGAAAGCAAGATAATATACACTAAAATAGTTACATTTTAACTATGATTTAAAAAAGCACCAACAAAATAAAGTTACATAAATAATAAAATAATACCTCCTGGAATTGAAACCCAATGCCACACACCATTGAGAGGGTGTACTGAAAAGAGAGAAGCCACAGTCATTTACAATGTTTACAAAATCTTTAAATCAATTAACTCAATTTATATCTTACCATGAGTACAAAAACACCACAATCATTCCCTCTTGTCTGACGTGGCAAAGCCTAAAATAGGCAAAGCAAATCAATTTTATTTTAGAATAATGTACAAAAAATTTAATTGTTGTAAAAGCCAAATAATAATTTTTTTAAGTTGATTCCTCACTGGAAAATCATATCCAGTCTTTTCAGACCATGTCCCATGATCCACTTGGTAAGCAATTTTCCTGTAAACAAAACATAGTAGTAATACTAACAATTACAGCTCACCTCAACTCTAGAACACCATGCATAAAAAAGGCTAGATGAACATACAGCGGGGAAAATAAGTATTTGACACATCAGCATTTTTATCATTAAGGGGATTTCTAAGTGGGCTACTGACACAAAATTCCTACCAGATGTAGCCATCAAGCCAAATATTGAATTCATACAAAGAAATCAGAACATTTAAGTATACAAGTTGAGTCATAATAAATAAAGTGAAATGACACAGGGAATAAGTATTGAACACACTTTACTTAATACTTTGTAGAAAAGCCTTTGTTGGTGATCACAGCTTCTAGACGCCTCTTGTATGGAGAGACCAGTCGTCTGCATTGCTCAGGAGTGATTCTGGCCCATTCTTCGACACAAACGGTCTTTAAATCTTGAAGGTTCCTTGGGCCTCTTTTATGAACTTTGATCTTCAGTTCTCTCCATAGATTTTCTATGGGATTTAGGTCAGGTGATTGACTGGGCCATTCAAGCAACTTGATTTTCTTTCTTTGAAACCACTTCATTGTTTCCTTGGCCTTGTGTTTGGGATCATTGTCTTGCTGAAATGTCCACCCTCTTTTCATTTTCAGCTTTCTGGTAGATGGCAGCAGATTTTTATTCAGAATGTCCCGGTACATTTCTCCATTCATCCTACCTTCAATAATATGAAGTCTGCCAGTACCCCTTGCTGAAAAGCAGCCCCAAACCATGATGCTTCCACCCCCAAACTTAACTGTTGGTATAGTGTTCTTGGGGTGGTGGGCAGTGCCATTTCTTCTCCAAACATGATGTGTAGAATGACTGCCAAAAAGTTCAATTTTGCTTTCATCTGACCATACTATAGTTTCCCAATAATCCACAGGCTTCTCCAAATGCTGTTTCGCAAACTTTAACCGGGCCTCAACATGCTTTTTGTTCAGCAATGGAGTCTTGCGTGGTGAGCGTGCATGGATGCCATGGTGGTTCAGTGCATTGCTTATAGTTTTCTTTGAAACAATAGTACCCGCTGATGCGAGGTCTTCCTGAAGTTCTGCCCGAGTGGTTCTTGGCTCTTGGAGAACTCTCCTGATTATTCTTTGGACTCCTTGGACAGGGATCTTACGTGGAGCACCTGATCGTGGCCGGTTTATGGTGAACTTATGCTTTTTCCATTTCCGGATAATAGTCCCCACAGTGCTCACAGGAACATTCAGCATTCTGGAAATGCGCCTATAACCATTCCCATCAAAATGCTTTTCAACGATAAGACTACGCAGATCTTGAGAGAGTTCTTTGTTTTTACCCATCATGAAGTCTTTCCTGTGTGCCTCCTGAGTAATGAGAAGCCTTTATAGGCCATCAATTAGGACTAAAGCAGCTGATATCAATTAGTACTGATAGGGAGCAGGGTTTTTCTCTCAATACTGACAGATCTCCTGACTTTCTATGCCATTTTGCACCTTGTTATCTTCATGTGTTCAATACTTATTCCCTGTGTCATTTCACTTTATTTATTATGACTCAACTTGTATACTTAAATGTTCTGATTTCTTTGTATGAATTCAATATTTGACTTGATGGCTACATCTGGTAGGAATTTTGTGTCAGTAGCCCACTTAGAAATCCCCTTACTGATAAAAATGTTGATGTGTCAAATACTTATTTTCCCCGCTGTAGCCAGAAGTTTATGAAACGGCTATAGTAACGTAGCCAAAAGTGGCAGAACTATAATACACGGTTAGGAAATAAATAGAAATGGCTATAGGAACGTAGCCATATATCACATAAAGGCTGAAACATGTCTTAGTTTATTGATAGACCTAAAAATTGCCCTGTATTCCTCATCTCCAAATCCTGATTCATGCTCTGCGTACAGAGAGTCTAAAAACACCATCTCTCTTCGAAGCGGCATCATTATCTACAATGTTAAAGGTGTAAAAATATTTCATTTGAACATTATTGCTTCTTCCAAGATTTTTCAGTGTTTTATTTTAGAAACACACACATTGCAATACCAATTAATGTATGCACTAGACATTTTAATATATTCTTACACAGACAACAAAGTGGTCTGGTCCATTGGCATTTGTCCATGCTGGAAAGGCTAACAGGTTTTTCAAGTCTGCATCTTCCTAGAATTGATCAGGACAGTTATGTCGTTTAATTTAGGTTGTACTTCTCACACAGTAAATACAGTACATACACGCACCGGTAATCCAGTAACAATGTTGTTAGGAGTTTCTTTCCACACAGGGAAAACATAAAAGTCCTCAATGTATATGTCCTTGCCCTACATGAATAAAAAGAAACTGTTGACAATGACATGAACATTTTCACACAGTTTAGAAATTGTTTTTTTTTTAATTTTATTTGGATCAAGTTAAAACAATCTATATAAATATTATGTTTTATAGTACATACAATTTGTCGAGCCATTTTACAAATAAGCTTCATGCAGGCGTTTCCAATCTGCAATAAATACTTTGATAAGTCAATGTTTTTAATAAAAAAAAGTTATAATAAAAAAACAGACTGCTTACATGGAAGTCCATGTCCCTCAACAATCCAAGGCTCCAAAATTCTTCTCGAATAAGGCACACTTGCCCCTCCTTCAAAATTATTTCACTGCCAGGGCGATTTCGGTCCAGCACATAATCAAGCTGTAATAATAATAACATTAAATATGTGTGTGTGTGTGTGTGTGTGTGTGTGTGTGTGTGTGTGTGTGTGTGCATTTATATGTAATGGTAATTGTTCACCAGTTTCTCTTGTAATGGATGCCAGTCCCTCTCCCAAGGCTTAGTAGGTTCCAAAAAATTCAGAAGAGTGGTAGGTTCACAAGCTGTTTTTTCTGTAATTGGTACTGATGACAGAGGAGATGTGACTGATGTTATGCCTGGTGATGCAGCGGTCGTTTGTAAAGTCACAATATTTTCTGGCAGTGCTGTCAGTGGACCTTAGAGTACATTAAAGCATCAAAATTTGAAAATAACACATAATAATTAGAGAACAGAAACTTGACACTGAGCAACTGGAAATAACAGTCAAATTACCAAGTGACATGTCCATTCATTTCTCTGTGGAGGATGGATTTTCTATAAATACAAATATACACATAAGTACAGTTATGGATATAGTGATGTATTTGTTACACAGTAAGGGAAACATTACCTAACACAACCTGGCTGTGGTCATTCATGTGAATGTTTGTGTTGAATTCCTTTTTTATGTCATGAAGACGTTTCTCGTTTTTTCTGACATTGTAATGGTGGATGATGTTTCGCATGAGGAAAACATGTGTGGATGGCAATGCCATGTTCATAAAGTAGTTATTTTTCTTTAGCTTTGAAAAAAGCTGTTCTGCAGCCTGACTGTTAACTTTGCCAGCTAGTTGAGGCACAAGAAGAAGCTTCCTCAGTGAATCACGAGGATCTTTTGTGTTGTCTTCGTGAAAGCGGTCATACAGAACATAGTGTTCTGCAGAACCAGCTATTGGATGACCATCCGGATCTGGACTTTGCTTTTTTGCAGTGAGCCATGGCAGAGTTACCCGTAATGTTCCTGATTTTGCTTTTGCAATATTTTCAGTGGTTGGTTCGAGTAACCTTCCCTTGAAAGGTGTGAAAGTTATGGGTTTCCTCAAATTTGTGTGGGTGGACAGTCCACGGGCAAAGTCATAAATAACAACATTAGGCAGATGCTTCCAAGACAGAAGCATATCTGCAAAATCCCGTGGACTTTCTGCTCGCAGATTACACTTTATACTGTAAACTATGCCACAAGGACACATGATGACAGCCCAACCTCCTGGAACAGACAAAAAAGATAAGCAAATAGTTAAGAAAACATAATCAAATCCCATTAATTCCCATAAAATCCCATAGGTTATGATGGAGGGCAGTGGCATTAACCTTAACAAAGTATACTTTTAAAAAATTTAAAGATGCAGTGCC